TTGCAACATTATCCCTCTTATAGGCCCTTTGAACGAACGCGGTTGAACCATTCTAAAAGGAAATTGTTTATGCTTTCGTATGGCTGACAACGTTTCTTCTTAGAGTTATTATTGGCATTTTCTCCCCAGTTTTTTAGGTACCGTCCTCAATGGACAGGAATTGACTTATCTGACTTACGACAATTACCTAACTCTGCGATTTTTCCTTTTGCTTTCCTTTATTACTGATAAGCTAGTTTCGAGATATATGATTGTGAGTTTATTTTTGGTATTGATATTCATGGGCCAGGAAGAAATGAAAATTGTAGCGAAAACAAAAAACCCTATTACATTCTCAAAATCCGCGGCAACAATACACACCGAAAGCACTGTTCAGGGCTGGTTTGTGTTGCAAACTGAATGAGAAATTGTCGAACCTGCCTCCAATGACATTCTAAGAATAGCACACCAAAGGAGAGGTAGAAACGACAGCGGCTGCACTCCGTGTGAGAATCGGCGTGAATCATCGCCGGTTGCCACCAAGGCCGCAAGTTGCAGCTAGCAGAAAACGACGTAAGGCGATGTAAAACAACTCTTGAAACAAAAGTGGTCGTCTTCAGGGGGACAAAGTGTGATTTCGTTGACGAATTGACGGTCGTTGGTTGGGAACAGGTGTGGTCGGCATTAAGAGGGTGTAAATGAATTGGTCTTACGGGAAAAGTCCGTCTCAAAAAAAGTGGTCGGGAGGAGAGGTGGTCACACACAAGTTTTATATATATATATATATATATATATATATATATATATATATATATATATATATATATATATAAAGCTGCAACAGTGAATCAAAATGTCGGCGTCATCAATCGTTCTTAATTTGTGATTGGGTAAACCAATGGAACATACAGTTTTTCAGCGAAATAGACGAATTCTTCCGAGCGCTTCCGACGATTTGCTGGTGTGTACGTGCGACTAATCGAACTTTTTTCTTCCACCCACGTGCTATCCAGACGATGTTCGTAAAAACGAAACACTGCATAAGCGACTATTTAAGTGGATAACTGTATCTGTGCTTAAGTTTTTTCTATCTGTGGAACGCCTACACATTGACTATTTAGAAAATATTGGAGTTGGAAACAGTTACAAAAAAATTAGTTCTCTTAAACTGTTACGTTTTGTATGACCGAGTTACACATATGTAGTAAACAACCTCAACCTTTTGAGGTTGGTGGGCTTTTGGCAACTTAATGCAATGTGGTTAATTACTTTCTAACGTTTCTTTCATCTTCCGTTCCTTCACATGGTAACTTCATTTAACGAAGGTGGGCAAATTACACTCTACAGTTCAGAAATAGACGGATTAGTGAACTTGTGACTTCCTTTTTAAGTACCCACTCGTCATAGACAGAAACAATGTTTGAAAATTTTCTGTTATGTTTCATTCGTCTCCAATTGCTTTCTCAAATAGGCTTTTTTATATGTATAACTACTTTCAAGAGGATATATAATAATTCTTTCATTTTTTGGGGGACAAAAACAAATAAAATGTATGGTTACGTTGTAGGTTTTATTTGCTCTATTAGTGCAAAAACAACTAAACAAATATTCGGGAGCAACTTTTAAGAAACTTTCGAAAAGAAGAAGGTTGATATAAATGTTCCTCCAAAATTAAAAAGTTAGATTGGTTGATTCATGAACTTCTAGGATCAATAGCTTCCTAAGTAATGTGCATGTTACATTCCAGAAGATTTTATCTTCCGATTGGAATGTTGGATTCGCTCTACAACAAACTGATTATTTCGTGTTTCCATACGCGTCCACTGCTATGATTGTTATTCCTATAAATGTAGTGGGTGTTATATCCCCTGGATTGAAAGTTTCGCCGTTCACCTACACGACGTCTACCGGGTTTTTCCCAACCAGGAATCAACGCCCAGCGGGGCGCCCCAACCGGGACAAGCCCAAAGCTCCTGTCGGCTCTCCCGGCATGTTGGGTAATATAGTGCGTGACAGTGTGGGTGTATGTAAGGAGAGAGAATAGGACAAGAATTGGGAAGGAAAGATCACGCGCGCTCGGTCCATCCCATTTCTTCTTTTGTTAGGGTACCGCTCAGGCATTCGCCTGGTGTTGATCGGAGAAACCATGAAAAACTAGCGATCAGAGAAGCCGGCCGCAAGAATTCTCATCCAGACTTCTCCAGACTTTGCCTCCAGCGGCTGAATCCGACCTATGTAGTGTGGCGAACCCTAGGATCTCTGGTAATGTGCTCTGTAGTTGCACCCAATTGTCATTCTGAGCTCTCTGCGATCGCTGGGCTGTTGGCTGGGAGCGGCCGGCCTTGGGCCCGGGGCCCGTTAGCCGCTCGCCGCAAGGCCAGGCGCCGCGAGGGTCTAACGAGCGGCGTTAGCGACGGCGGCGTAGCGGGACCCCCCGGGGCCAACCGGGCAGGCCGCCCACTCGCCCGGCGCAGCACGACTCGCTGCAGCGGGCGAACAAAGCCGCCAACGGCGCCTGCACCAACCACTCGCCTGCCTCGGAGACCGCGCCCCTGCGAGCGCACGCAACGTCCTCAGGCGCAGCTCTCTGCTCTCTGCGAACATCTAGAGGGCCGAACACAGAACAGCCTGAGCGGGGAGTGTAAGAAACGGTGTGTAACGGAGAACGGCGGGTCCAAACGAAATTGTCTACGAGATGTTTAGTAGCAAAACGTGCATTTTGCTTATATCCTTTTCTCCTTTTTGCTTTCTTTCATCACGAATTGCCCATTCTATAGACCACGCACAAGTGCAGTTATACTCACCAAGGCCCAGTCATATTATTACTTGGGGGAGTGCACTTAAAACATTATGGGGGAAGGGGGCTCTGGTATTTCTGCTGAGTCCATTTTTACGCGCCAGGGTTGTTAGCCCTGGGGGTATGGAAGATGAAATTATGATGATTATGAGGGGTGAGAGAACGAGACACTCATACAGACTTACACAAATTTACCCATGCCCGAGGCGGGCGATCTTCTTATGCAAGACCGCTGCGGCACTACTGCCTTAACGATCTCCGTCATCTGACTGGCATCTACTTTTTGCTTCATTCTTGTTTATTTTCTTTTTAAATTGTGTCTTGTATAAACGAACGTTTTGTGAACGGGATGAAATATGAAAGGCAAATTCTTCCTTGGTTATCATGTTGTGTTTTGTTCAATAAAAAGGATTTTCAACACAAGCTAGACAGCTACGTTGAAATCAGCCTCGCTTTCAAGGAGCTCGGATAGTTTTCTGTGATTTCTCCAATCTACATATTTCTTTTCTCTTCTTTGTCCTGTCCTCATCCCTTACCTACACATTTACATGCACTGCTCTACCACACATGTCAGAACCCCTGATCTTCTGCGCTTTTCTCTTCAACATCTAGGGGAGGAAAACACCACCGCCCCACGAGATACAAACAGGTACTACTCTTACGGGACTAATGGCCGTTGCTGTTAATATGCCCGGAAGCACGATATATTCAATCAATGCATCGCAAACATATCAACTTCCTGAAATATGAGTTTCAATAGATGTTACAGAAAACTGTAGGGTAATTTGTGGGTTTGTTATTCATGAAATATTTTTAAAACCTTCTTCATAAATACATTGTTATGTTCTCTTTTTATCATTAAGTTTTTCTAATTAACGTGAAACACTGGGAAATGTTGCAAGAAAAAACAATCCAAACTCTCACACATATTGTTTTATTTGAATATTATTACAAACATATACACTTCTATCTAAATCCACGTTCCATTCACAAAATACACCACAATATACATCATAAAAACTCAGAAATTTTTGAAAAAATGTTGGTAATGATTGAAACATTTATTGAACTCTGTAAAATCCTCAAAATGTATAATTCACATCCTTAATTTCGAACAATTTTATGTTCTGCCTTATGTGCTTACAATTTCATTGAATATTACCTTTAAAAATAAAAATAACAAAAAAGAACTTCGCTGCTCTGGCCAAACGTGAGTTTTTGGCATCATACAAAGGTTAAAAATCAGTATTTGAGAAATTAATTAATGTTGTGGAGTACTTTTACAACTTTTCACTAATATTCACGTTCTATAATTATACTATTTAAGTCCGCTGAGGACGGCAACAACATAAAGTATATAAATGTAACTTTGAACTTACAGAATATCAAACAAAAATAAAAACAATGCAACTGATATTAGAAACAAATTTTCAATACAGGTTTATTCAGTATTATAGTATTACAAAGGTATGTTCATCTAAAAATTCACACTTCTTTAAAAACAACATTTGAAGTAATTATTCAATATTTATTGACATGTAGCTTTTCGCTTTCCTTGATAGTCACTAAACAATTAGAACAGGTTTCTGCTCTTGCGAAAGACAAAGTTTCCTACGCAAAAATACAGGTTCGGGCCAGGTCAACCCAACTCTTTGCAATATTATTTAACTTTCTTGGATTAGTTATGAGGAACAGAAGAGGTTTTGGGGAGGCAGGGCGCTGGGGTGTGACAATTGTAAAATTTGACGTATTTGTTTGCTAAAACGTATTGCATTATTATCTGCGTTCTTTCGTACTTCAAGAAACGCAATTAAGAGCCAAAAACTAATCTAACTAAAATGTTCACCTTTGAGTAATAAATACCAGTTGTTAACATTAGAATCAATTCAGTTGGCTTAGACTTTACTTCAGTACATAGGAATGTTGCTCAAACTATCTTTACGTATGGACTATCTTAGCGACCCGACACTTTAAGTTTAATATCTAACGGTGAATTATTTACAATATGAGTTTACTGCTGGACATTGATTTATAGACTTTCAGATACCGTCAACTAAATTGTGCGTTGAATTGCTGTCGTTGGCAATTCTCGAGTGACTTGCGATATTATTTCTATAATTTTTAATTTTTAATTTAAAATTAAATTCCTTAAAAATATTAAAAATAATTATTTAATAATTTTTGACAGTAAGATTTTCACTTTTCGTGATAGTCACAGAAATATAAAAAAGCTTTTTACTCTTGAGAAAGCTAAGTGAATGAATATGCTGTATTTAAAATTTTTACAGAATCACAGCTCATAACGAAAATACTTGGCCAGGTAAAACACCAACCAAATCAAACCTAAGAAGACACGTCTTTACTCTTCACTGCACACCCACAGTGAAGTACAATACCCACAGTGAAGCCACCCAGTACACCCACAGTGAAGCAGCTACAAGTGCTGTTAACTTAATTATGCAGAGGCATAATTAAGTTAACAGCACTTGTAGACCTCGGCAAAATGTTAAATGAATGTTTTTACTACACGCATAAGAAACAATCTTCATCGGTATCAAGCAAGTATTAACTGCCTCCGTAGGGGGAGACTAGAAGTAACAAGACTGAACAGCGTGGACCATATGCAAACCCGGAGAACGCACATTCCAATACCAGTTTAGTTTAGATTAGTTTTCTATTGTTTTAGAACAGTCTTCTTGGTTGATTTTGCCCTACTAGTAGGTTCTAGCCGAGGTACTAGCCGAGCTTCGAGTGGCTCAGAATAAATATTACAAACTTCAATGGCACTTTGAAAATTCGAAGATGGCCACTTCTTACCCATGAATACGTGGGGGGAAATTTTCTAAAACAAAGCTTTTGTAAGACGTCTCAATTTACGAAATATGACATTTGCCCCAGATTATTAGGTCCCTCCGCACAAGAACTGACTTGTTTGGCTCAAGGCACCATCTGATGTCACTGCAGTGTCTCTGACTAGTAAGTCCTAGGGTTCGAGTCCTACCAGTGGCAGGATTTTCGACACAATTAGGAGCCACTGTCAGACGAGAATTATATCGCCGACTCCTCTGATGGGTACTTTTTCAACGTTTTACAAGGCCGGAGCTGCACCCTAACAAAAGGGCCAGGCGCTCGCGCGCGATCTTTCCTTCATCCTTCTTGTCATGTCCTCATCCTTTATTTACACGTTCACATGTATTCACTTCACCACTACGACTGTCGAGATGCCAGGCAGGAGCATGAAGCTTGACCAGCGCCTGGAGCGGGCCCTGCTGGTGGACGGTACCTGGTCACAGAAAACCCTGCAGCCCGACGTGTAGGCCGGAGCCGGATCTCGCCATTCTGCGGCAAAACATGCACTACACCTACAGGAATAATGATCTTAACAGTTGAAGCGCCCGAAAACTCTGATTACTCAATTTTGCACGAAGGGTTCAGCATGTAACTTTCTAAGGAACTCAAAGGCACTCAAACTAAATGCTGCCGAACGCAGATGCTTGAGGAGTTGCTTAATTATCAGAGACAAATGTCTCACAATATTTGTTTGAGCAGTCTCGATTATTAGTCCATTTTTTCAAGAATGCCCTGATAGCAGAGTGATTGCAATTTTAGTCACCGTCGATTTCAAGAAAATACTACTTTCACGACAAGTTAATTCAGACTAGTGGTTATCAGTAGCAATTGGAAATCTTAAATGATATTGAAACACAATTTTTAAGTAGGAACATTTGTAACCTGCATTGAAATTTTAAAAAATTATTTTACCAAGACAGATTTGAATAAACATACCATGTGTAATTCTTGACTTAATAATGTTCAAAAGTGAAGAGAACTACATTTCTCGTCACTACGTTTTTCACGCTCTGATGGGAAATAAATACATATAAAAATCATCAAAATAATTGACACTCTTTCGTTTTTGCTTATACAATGCTGGTGAAAACAAACTGTACTGTGATGTACAACATTGCAAACACAAATTTCATTTTCTGTGCCTACGTTTGTTTCATATTGCCACACTAGTGTCAGGGGTGAACGAAAGTATGTCCTCTTTTCAAATAATTGTACATATATTAGAACAAATGAACTAATGTTACATAAAATTATAAATAGACGAAGCGTTTTATTTTATGTACACTTCACAAACGGTGGGTGAAGGTTATAGTAATAAAAAGGGGTTAATTATGACAGAGTAGCAGCGTGATTTATAATTAAAGCTATGGTAAATAATAAAATTTTAATAAATACATTGAAGTTAACGTATTTAAGAAAATTGTATTGTATTGCAATCCAAAAGTGAGTCTGGAAGGCTAAATATCGAAAGAGTAATAGATGGTGTATCAACAAATGCAGATAAGTAAAAAAAATCCTTAAAAAAAAGAAAGCTCTATTTTTGTGATGTAAATTGCAATATACTTCTGAATTAAAATAGTATATAACCTGGAACAATTTAAAACAATTGTTTACAACAATGATTCTGAACAAATATTGTTATTGATATATCACTTCTATTAACTAGTTTATAACTTCTTGCAAAAATAAACATTTATACTTTTTATAATAATATTAATAGATGCAATTGGTCTGCTAGTGAACTACAAGCATAGATGCCGCCATTAATATTGTTATTGTTAAAGAAGGAAGCAAGTAATGCCCCGAATTTTCCAGCTTCTGCAACCGCATTTCCGATTTTTTCTGTTTCTCTTGCAAAGTTTTCAGCTCCGTTCGAAACGTGTTGAACTTCTCCCTTTCCTCTTCTTTGTAGAGGGACAGAGGATCTGTGCGAAAAACATGTAGTGTAATACATGTATATATACGAAAAAAAGTTTTCGATGGGATAACAACATCGGCACCAATAAAACCGTTTTTAAAATCGGTGTAAGAATACCACAAACCACACGAGCACCTCATTTAAACCTATTTTGCTACTTTCTAGAAAATAACAACTAAATATTTACTAGTATCTTTATTGATGGATTTTTTGCTTCGATGGTGTCCACGTTATCTTGCAACGATGTTATGATCATCAAACGTGACTTATTTAACTCACACAGCGTGCCACTTTAGTCCGTATTTGGCCAACTTTACTTTAAAACCATAGAAATCGACAGTACATTTTATCTAAAGTACTTGTAATGTATATAATATTACAGCTTGAAATATCTGCTTTCAGGACCTTCATTCAAACGATTTAACTATTTCACTGTAATCGGCTGAAATTGAGCCGTACAATACAATCACTATTCACTGCGAATACAAAGTTAGACGTTTCTGAAATTGAAATGTTTTATATTTGCCAAGTTCAGTATGTGGTTTTTGTAGTGTACTATATCAAGGGATCGTAATGTTCCCCTTACTTTAAAAACGCAATGCATCACAATAGTTATTTATGTATCTAGGGCGTTAAGTAGATGTTTTTGCCCAGAGGGCAGCTTCCAAGCCCGAGGGCCTCTGGCGCGAGGGGTTGGATCTCGCCTGAGGGGCAAAAGCACTTAGTAACGCCTGTGGTGCTAGTTCGTTGCAAAATGGAACGAGAATTTGAATATTTTGTAACGTTTCTTGCGTTCTAAAGTGAAAAGACGCATTGTAATCATTTGTTAATGTGAAGTCAGATAAACAAAACAGAATGTGTATCTTATTACTACTGCATACTCGTTGATGGGCTCATTTGTTCGTACAAAATGAAAGAATATTGTGAAGTTCCTGCAAAAATTCTCGCAGAAAGTAACAAACCTACGGATAGTGGTTTCCAGTAAAATGTCTAAAAATATATGAAAATGATTATGGTGTATTTGAGAGTTATACGGAAAATAAGAGTGTGAATTGAGCTGATGAAACGATACTTGTAGGTTATTTGGCTCTATCGCCAGAAGTTATTTATAATATTTCATAACTTCAAAAATAACATTTCGAGAGTGTTAGACGATGTGTCTTACACATCTTATTACTACTAGTAGTACTGTTACTCAAGAAGCACATATATCTCTAAAAAAGGTGATAGTTAACATTGAAATATGAATGACTGATGGTAGTTATAAATACATGGGAACATTACAAAATTGCAATTTTCATATCAATTAAGCAGAATATGGTTAATACAGTTATTTTTCTTATTTGAGCGTAATGCCATTTATTTGTTGTATTTGTAACTTAAATATATATAATTCATAAAAATGTATAAGTTGTATTGATATTAGAGCGGGTAAAAAAGTATTGAAAAGTCCCTGAAGCATAAATAATCAGAAAGGCCCGCAAGGGTATTAACAATACCGCTACGAGTTGCGTTTTGGGTCCGTAAACACACGGTAATGAACTAGTAAACCATAAATGTTTTTATAACCACTTATTTTGTAAAGAACACATGTATCAAACTGTTGGTGCACTTTACTTTCATATTCACTCACCAATATTTGCATTTAAAATCCCTCAGTCTTTTGAAACTCACTATATTCTCTTCGTTAGCCTCACTTTCGCTCACTGCTTTCGATGCATTGATTGCAATTTGCACAAAAATCCCACGAAATGAAGAAATGACACCCGGAAAATGTTTTTCTATTCATTTTAAGATATTATTACAATTTAGTATTTATACTGCAAAACCGATCATCAAAAGTACGCGATAACGCACCTGGGGCCCATTATCATTTAAAACAAAAACCACGAAATTGTTCGAGTAGAAAGCTCAAATTTTGTTCTATACGAATGTGTGTGTTTGTTTTCAAACATTTGCTTACCCAGACATTGTGAGTGGTCTTTAGTGAAGTTAAACCCATCCACGCACCAGCAGATTAATGCCGTTGAGTCTGGCGTGTGTGCCACATGTGGATTGGTGTAAGTCGGGACGAGTTTGCAGGCTGCATTAGGAATGCACTGGCTGTCCTTACTGCAAGGGAATTTTGCGTCTGAAAGAAAATACATTTTGATTTAAGTTAGTTTGAAATTAACCTAGGTTATAATTTAACTGAGAAATGAATTACCTACTGATCTAAAAGTAATGTTATAGTTCAATCGGGTTCATGTTCAATCAGTGACACTGTAGCTCATTTTGAATGTTACGTGTTATTTAAAACTGTCGTTTTCCCAGACGCCACAAAAAGTCTCCGTATTTTTGATAGTATTTAGTTCAATAAATCAGTGGATTTTGGATCGAATAATATTTTACTTTATACGAAATTGTCGGTCCTATGGATAATTAAGTCTATAAAAATTATGAGGGTGGCAAAACTAAAGTTTAGCAAAAAACATATTTTTTCGATCATAAGGCAATAAAGACAAAAGAAGTGAGATAAGTAAGAAAACTCAGAATATCATGAGGAATCACACTCCAACTTCTCACTTATTCATATTCAGCACCCAAATTGTGTCTTAAATGTATTCAGTGACGATATGTTGCTTACATTTTATGAGCATTCCATGTTTTTCATCGTAAAGTACTGCTACAACCCAGGTGACCATTTGTGCATCCTTATGCGTACGTGGGTAGCAGTGTACGAAATGCCAACAAAATGTAATGACACGATTGAAGTATATGTAATGACGTGATTGTAATGACTTGTACTGACATGATTGAAGTACATGTAAAGTACATCATGTAATGACATGGTAAGAAGTGCAAAAGGAACGGTTAAGTCTTTATTTTCTAATTCACACTGAGAGAGAATAAACGCAACGGAGGATTTTAATACAATACCCAGATGAGAAATATTTCATTATTGTTTTTGATTGTGATGCAAGGTGAGTGTTACAAACGATTCTTTATGTATATGGGAAAGAAGTTATCCTATTATAACAGTACTTACAGCGGCGAATGTCTTTGCAGAAGGTGCTGTTCCGAGGGAGCTTCCGGTTTCCGCACAAACAACGTCGTTGGCCGTCACTGTCCGCAACGCAGGCCGTGCCATTGTAGGGGGCGCAGTCGCTTGTTTCGTTGCATGCCTTTTTTACTGCCAATGAGCACAAAACAAAATTTAAAATAAGGAGCGTGAAATAAGAATCTTATTTATATTAAAGAATTTCTTATTTTTTAAAATGGTAAGTAATAATTTACTGATTTTAAAATTCTAAGTCTCTTCAGGCAGGTAGTTAAAATTAAATATAATTTATTTATTAAAAAGACGGCTTTACATTTTTGAAATGATCAGTAAGGAATGTACTATGAAAGCTCTTGGTGGCCCGGTGGTTAGCATGCTCGCTTTCTATGGCCCAACCCAGCATGGGATTCCGGTCTGAGCAAAATTGTAACTGTGCACTTTCCTTACGCTTCCAGCCATGAATTTAATAAAATATGCAGAAACCATAATTGGACGATTTCCTTCCAAAAAACTAAAAGTATGACAATATCGAAAGATCCTATTCCGTGTAAGCGCGTGGTAAATGATGAACCAATAGAGCAAGGGTGAGAAACAAAATACTCGGGAATAGTGATCACAAGCTCAAGACGAATAAACAAGAATCATGAAAGGAAACATAATTTCAGGCTGTTTAAATTTCTCAGTGTGGTACAACATATACTTGAGACAAGACTCAAAACTAAGAATATATAAATCAGTAGTTAGACCTGTTTAACATATGCAGCACAGACATAAGGTGAAACAACAATAATGCAGCGTCAGCTAGAAGTGGAAGAAATGCGTATGTTGAGGAAAATATTAAACAAAACGTACTTGGATAGAGAAAGAAATGAAAACATTTGAACAATATGTGGAATAAGTCCTATTTCCGAATGTATAATAACATGTAGAAGATAATGGATTCATGTATTGATAGAATTAATGAAGATAGAATTGTATGGGTCTCTAGAGGTACTAGACCTGTGGGAAGGAAGGTATCCGGGAAGACCGAGGTGACGATGGGACAAAAGTTTTTAAATCCAAGAAATGGGGCCAATGGCCTACTAAGAAGTGGAAGTGAAGATTTTTCTTTCAAAGGTCTCAGGATCTATTGTTGTATGAAGGTGTGAGAAAGCCCACTCGAAGGTTAAGAGGACCAGAATTCACGGTGAAGGGATGTCTTCATGTTAAACACTTGAACCCCTTCTCCCATGTCCGAGATACTGGGCCACCGCTGGTTGGCCAAGACACATATCAGACTGTCGAGTCAAGAACAGGGCCGTGAATAGGCTTTGATATAAAAACACAATTCTTTCCTGGCAAGAAGAACAAATTACATAGAATATTCGTTTAGAGAGTTAGTTGATATTATTTCCAATTTTTGAATTCGAAGTTAAAAATTATGGCTTAAAATATTAAAATTGATTTTTCTTTTTTATAAAAAATATTTTCTAAAATAAGAGCAGCATTCAGTATTTCTATTCACAGTTGAATATCCAATTCAAGAAAATTAAAATATTTCTCCGATCGTGACTAATCTATAATTTTTTAGTCACAGTTAATGATACTCCATTCGAAAACACAGAAGAAGCAACTCATAATTCATCTGTAGAGAGCATGAGCGGGCTATCATGAAGTCGGTCAACAACTGTCAAGAAAATGGATTTACAACAATTATCTTTTAAGATATTTATAATCATGAAAACATTCAACTTGCAACTGTCTTTTTAAAGCGCCGGTAAAGTTATGTAGACTCAGGCGTTCGGTGTATTGCTAAATCTAACTAGGTGAGTTAGAATTCCAGCACAGTCAAGTATTATTGTGAGTCGGAAAGAGGTTGCATTTTCAAACATTATAACATTACGTAATCGTTACAAATAAATGAAGAAAGTTGGCTCTTTTGTATCACCTCTAGTTCCTCGTATAACCTTCAAAAGGAGTTTTGTAATATAGGTGCGTGTGTCGCATAGGGACCCCACCTTACCTTCCATCTTTTAGCCCGGTACTAAACACAACGGCTGCCGTCCCTTTGAGAACGTTGACTGCTCAGAGAGCTCGGCTCTGCGCCTTCGGAGCGTGGGGTGGTCCTGGTGAGGAGGGGGGGGGGCAGGCGCTTCAGAAGGGGGGGAAGGGGGGTGGAATAATTTTACGGAGCGCCGACCCCTCGCGCGAAGCTTTATCCCAAAGGTCATCGTTCTCACCCCAACTTGCCGCAGTCACGCGTGACGTAGGCGTCGGGGGACGGTTATTTGCAGGCCGCACGCACGCCTCGGAAAATCCCTTGCACCGACTTGAGAACATGGTGTCTTGCGAGGAGAAGATTTCTAACTGAGACACTCCCTTTTGTATCGGTTAGTTTTGAATAAGACGTTTTGCATTGGAATGTTCGACATGTGCTTTTAGGAAGGTCGGACATCTCATAAATACCTTTCTCGATTTTTTAAATACTCTTTGGTAGTTTTCACATCATTCATGTGGAAATAGTACCACTTATCACAATTTTGCATTTTCATGGTTTGTGAAATGTAGTAAAATGCAGTCACGAGAGAACATACAAATGTTCAGTTATACACGAATGTTTCAGAAACCGTTATTAGACGTAGTAAATTCAAACAATTAAAATAATCCTTATTTAAACCAAAGTTATTAACGTTAATGTTAACTTGCGAATATTTTTAAATAGTATATTTCAGCCATAGGCACAAGTTTTCTAAAACATTATACCCTTATTTCCTTTCCATGTGAGGAAGTTAACTTCGAAATCCTGTTATTGTAAATATGCATGTTCACTGTTTGCTTTTTAAGGAAGAGAAATTGCTAATAAATTTATCTTTTCATTTTTCAATAACTCCTCAAAAATTGCTACTTCATTCAAATGGAAATACTTATCACATGTTTGCGTGACCAAATTGCTCCAGAATTGGCATATAGCATAAATATGCATACGTTTTTAAAGTTTTTGCGTAATACTGTCTTCCGTTTTGTGCTGAGAAGAACCTACTTACTTGTCTGTCAACTAGAATAAACAAAAGATTTTATGCAAATCTTTTTGAAGGAAAGTGAATCACTGATGTTAGTATTAACAAAAATAAGCGTACAAGCAATTGATTAAAGTACAAAAAAATTATGGAAAGAATATTTCATTCTATAACAATAAAAATGCATGGTAATAACACATAGTTACCCAAATCAATACCTTTTAAATTAGTATTTTTATGAGATTGTATTTGAAAATTTATTAAATCAATTAATATAAATTTTATTAAATCAATTGATATAGCAAAGCTGATTTACAGCTACCAAAAATGCCTAACATTTGGCGAAACATTTGTTATCTAAATTTGTGTTGAAAATGTTACTCACGTTCATCTTTTGGTTCGTTATCCGCCTTCTTGTCTTTTTTATTGTCGGGGCTCTTCGCTCCCTCCTTTGGTCCTCCGCTCGCTTTGTTTTCTGTCTTGGAGCCGCCTTGAGTCGCTCCGGGTACGTCGTTGCCCTCAGGCTGCGACTTATGACTCTCGCTTTGCTTTGGACTTTCGTGTTCAGAGTGATTCTTGTTGCTTTGCGATTCATTAGCTTGCCCATTGCTTTGCTCGGCAACTGCGTTGATGGGTAATGAGTTCTTGCTGTTGTGACTGGGGCTCTGAGCCTTTTTATTGGCGTCTTCGCGCCCGGGGTCCGCCGGCACGGCGCCTGCGCACTGCACCGCTGCGAGCGCCACCAGCAGCGCCAGCAGCCAGCGCTCCATCTTCGCAGGCCAGCCACTGCGCGCTCTACTCATGACGCTCAAGTTGGAGGACTAGGGCAGGACACGGAAACACACTTTTGTTATTTCTGCAAATTGCATACCAGTAAAAATCGTTGTGCATGTTAATTTATATTTCGTATTGCCTGAAACGTACCCGAAAGTGATATTCTACACGCTTATTTCATTGGCCACGACATGCAAAAATTCATCTATTTACAATAAAACGCACTTCAAACTAACCTTCAATTGGGGTGATATGGCATTCGGATATGTATGAATGCAATGCTGGATTTTAAAAAAAAGTAGCTACTTCCAGAGATGACCATTATTTTTTACTTCTATTATAATTGTTATTTAACATCCATAGTACCAATGTTCAATGAAAAATTCAATAAAAGTGTCAAACAAGTGACACTTGGTTTCTTAAATGTATTCTTTGTAAAAACGAAGCCCTTAGTTTACGTTGATGTTTGAAAACGTATCTCGATAACTGTCGACATGTAGAAAGCATGAGTGAGCTATGCCACAGTTTTTCAAAATTAAGATTTTTACATGAGATTGTTTTATTTAATAGTGTTGTTAATGTTTTTAGTAAATTTAATCACCTTCCTATACTTTTTTGAACATTAATATTCACTCAACTGAAAACTTAGGTTTGTGCTACGTTGAAGTGAGCTATGCTGAGCGCCATTTTTCTCTCTCCAATACCAGAGAGGATGTGGTTACGTGATCGTTCGTTTGCAAACATGAGAGTAATTGCGTTCCAACAAGTAGGGGTGAGATATAAAGAAACGGAAGAAAAATGTGAGTAGCTAATTGAAAGTAAAATCCAAATTAAATAGAAACTTCGGCTAATCACACGTTAGAAAAACAACAAATCAACTTACGCTGGCAAAGCAGTATCATTATTGGTTCAAGGGAGGAAGTGTAAGTTGACGTAAGATGAAGGCCCAAAAAGGAAAGTTCAACAAGCATCTTATCAGATATTTTGAAACTATGAAGAGACCGTATCCGTTTGGAACGAAGATTGCTGCTTTACAACATCAGGATATTACGAGTATACTTCCCTACGTACCGGAAAGTCAGCACTATGTTGGGTTTCATGATATTCAGTCGCCGATTCAAAATGTTGAAATTTAAGCTAATGATGACCCTGATTAAGTAAAAAAGGAAATTTCTTATCTTATTGTATTTTATAAAATGATTTATATGAAATTTTATATTATTATATGAAACATAGATTTTCATAGTTTATTGTGTCCTTAGACTTTGCTAACTCTCACAGTGTTTAAATCATATTTTACTTATTCTAAATACTTTTTAAACTACTTAAACATGTAAGTATGATTTACTTCATGATTTATCGTAGTAGTAAAATATACTGAATTATTGATGTGCCAGATTCATCAAAATTATACAACTTTTCCTCAGGTAGCAAACGACGTTGAGAAGTTGCTATAATTGTTTATGATTATTTATTATATACATAATAAATTGAAATCTAATAAACCATACTTGCTCAAATTATTTCCCTGACGAGAAACGCAAAACTAAATAACTCAATTGTTTGTGTCAGCTTTCTTTCGACGCCTCATTTGTAAAAGACATTTAAATTCTCCATGTGATTCTTTATATTATTCAGCAATAGTAGCGGTCGACAACACTTTAGATATTGTGGCCAACTAAACTTGCAATGTAATTTCGCTGACCACTGTCATAATTTTTAAATGAAGTGTTAGTATTAAGTACATTTATTTATAATAAACACATAATGTTGTTACCTAACGAATAGGTAGTATGAGTCATTTAACGAGGAAAGTAGCATCACCTTATTCTCAAATAGAAGAGCAAATGTTTGTAATGTTATTTTGCCGACAAATTCTTGTGAAATAGACGCGATGGTATTTTTCTTGCTGTAACAGAATTGAACCTTTCATGGAATGTTTGAATTTTTTTATTAATCAGGATGTTTCATAATTACTTTTGCAGAAAAAAGAACAGAAATCCAAGCAGAAACACGGTGGACTAGTATTACATTACTAGTCTCATGATTAAGATTAATAATGATTGTTATCAGATTCTTGCAACAATGATACGCAAAGTGAACTTTCAAAGATCAGATTTATACTCTCTGGATCAGATACAAAAGAAAGAACACTGTGAGACCATTTTCAAGAGTGTTCGCAAATTTTAAGAAAATTGTGTAGTAAAGCAAAATATTTTATAAAGTACTCAATTGTGTACAACTCAGCGACAGGGTTAAGGAACCTAGTCCGATCGGCAATGCAATATTTAAAACAAGTGTTGAATCAGAAGTAGCATCGAAGAAGGAATATTTTCTCTCTCACACAGACGTTCATCTTGGATTTGTACTTATTCAAACAAAGTTGATAAATATACTGTAAGAACGAACTAGTACGAATGGAAAAAACTACTTTCAACGTTTTAATGAAACAAATAAAGCAATATGCAGTCACTATGTAGGTATGTAAAGGTCATAATATTTTACAGACAAAATTATTTTAAACATGAAGTAGCATGTATAGAAACGGATGCAAGAATCGTCAAAACAAACACGTCAAAACAAAACTGATGTAAAAATGTGAAAAGACAAAAATGCCGAGTAAAACTTAAAATAAAATTCACAATGTCCCTCTCAAATTCCTCAGGAAGAGAAAGTCAATACATGTGTGGTAGCTGAGAATGCTGAAGTCTTTCAGTTACACGGGTGGAAGTCTTAATAATGCACATGAAGGTATTGTCCCCTTTAAATTTGGATAGAGTTCAAAAAACACAATTCTTTCGTAAAAGAAATCCACTAGGAAGCAATGAATTCCGCTACTCATTTATTGTTTCTGATACCCGTAAGAGCTCACATGGGTGAGAATGAAAACTAAGATCAAAATGTTATGGGATCCATGTTAATTTTTGAAGTAGATTTTAAACTTTTTATGTTGTTAACATTCACTCAATTTCGTATTCTTTTAAATGTGACTGATTTTGTAATTGTTAAGTGATTTTGTCTTTGAATATAATTAAACAATTTAAAATTTATTGTGTGTACTAGATATACAATCTCACGTGTCAGTACGATTAACCAAATACAATGACCGATACGAAGATCACAATGCATAGTGAACCACTTTCAACCATATGGTGAAATGGACGAAAACAAATCTAGAGCGAGAAATGGCCTTAAGGGAATTACAAAAATAAATATATCCTTCACCGGAAGTTCTCTCTCACATCTTTTTCAAAATTTATTTTTGCCAAGCAAATCTTATCAAAAGTTATTTTTTTGCTCCTACACTCCATACTGTTTATCCGTCAAATCAGAATAGTCGTCAGTGTAGTATTTATCGTATGTTTATTGTGTTTGTGTTATCTTAAATGTACTTCTCAACTTCTATGGCTATTTTCAGCTGTGTTAGTTGTGTTAGAGAGTAATATGTAACTCTCTATACATATTACACCCTTATACATTATAACCTTATATTCGTATACGTTTCCGGCATGAGCAGTAACATTAATTGAACTACAAAATGTGAATTTTGAGTAATGACCGTTATTTCGTCACATTTTGTAAAATATTAAATTAACTTCTCAGAAGCCTTTTAGTTATGATCAGTTGAAGTAGTCCGAGTTACCCAGGCATTTATTAATATCAATCTTGTATTAAAAAAGAAAAGTAGTAAATTCTGTGTGTAACGTATTCCCTGCGCATCCTGCCTTGCCAAGCCCTGGCCAGTTCTTGTCTGTCTCTGGCGGTGTCTTCTCCGTTCCGTCCGATCTCACCCAGCCCAGATCCTCTCTGTCCGTACTTACCTTGCCCTGCCTCACCTGGCCGCAATTGACCTCACCCATTCCCACTCCGCCATATTTTGTTACAATTACCCTTGCATCCACCAACGTTGTAAAGTGTAGATAAAAAATTGAAAACAGACAGTAATCACAAACTATTAATTAATTTTAGTGGACTTCCACACTCTTTTTCATATATTCACAAAATATAGAAAAAGTGTTCACTTATATTTTGATTAAGTAGTAGGAAAGTAATAATGGATGGTTTTTCGAAATCATGGTAGACAGTAATTTTACAATTGTTTTGAAGGTCATGTTTGTAAAATTTACACATTGAAGCATTATAACGTAAACATTGCGTCATAATGGATGGCGTGTGAAACCTGGAGTTCAACGAATAGCAAAAAGTTTAAATTAGTTGTTTACAAAATGTATTTTTAAAGTTGTTCCAGTATGAGAATCCAAGAGCGATATAGTGTGGATTTGAATGGGACTAATTTCTATGTAAAATACCTTTTAATTAAATTTTTAATCTATAATAAACAGAAGAACTGCCGATCAGATGGCCGAGATCGCTAAGGCAGTAGTGCCGTAGTAGTTTGGGACAAGAAGATCGCGGTTTCGAGTCCTGCTTCAGGTATGGGTGTATTTGTATGTGTATGTATGAGTGTGTCGTCCCTTAACTTATCATTTTCATCATCAGTTCATCTTCCATACCCCCAGGGATAACAATGCTGGGGAATAAAAATGCATGCATGCCTGGTCCTTGTCGGCCTATTCGCGAGTAAAAAAAAGAAAAAACAGAAGGGGTAGTAGGTGTATTTCGTGTTTCTCATCCTCAACTTTAGACCATAATAATACTCGGTTCTTTCTAAACGTAAATCGAATCCCGTATATACCCATCCGTCACTCACTTTATCTGAGACAAATCATTGAAAAGAATGTTAAAAAGTTTTAAATATTGAAGATTCTTCAATATAAATAATAAATGCAAAATATCTTTCTAAATTTAAGTACGAACAACAAATGTCACATGATATTGCTCGTAAGGTTTTGAAAGGTACTATATGTACTATCAGACTGTTAGGATTACTGGCTATTTTTCATTCGATGCACTTGTTGATCAATCTTTGCTATTAGCATGATCTTTTCAGATTCTTCGTTTGCTTCGCGTGCATGTAAGATAATCCTAAAAAAATGTTAGCTAAAGTCGATTTCTTACGATCAAAACAAACATTACGTATCAGCTAACAAGTGTTCTTTAACATCTTATATTTGTTTGAATCACAAGTTGTCATTCATTGTTGAAATCTACGAATAATGTTCGATCTACTGATTATTTGGAAATAAGGAAAACTGATAATAGATTAAATAAATAACTTTTAATTTGTGTAGTTCCTAAAACGTTATTATAACATGGCTATTTAAAACAACAATTGTACAACACAGTTGCGTGAAATGTAACTAATATTGTATTACACTGTTCGTTGGAGTAGGACGTCGTAACTCAGTTCAAAAAGTCTTCTTCTTAATATAATTATTTCATAAATATTTGTAATTCAGAAAAAAAATATTGAAAGTTTATAAATACGTTAATTGGTAGTGCTTAAGTCAACCTGTCGCTTATGAATTTGAAGGATTCCAAGCATTGATATTTTACAAATTTTCTAAGTCATATATATTTGGTTCTGCTCCCTAATATACATTTTAAACTTGAGGCATTTCAATCGACGACTCGATAATTATTTACTGAATAAAACTCATTCAATATTCAGTTCAATTTAATATTTTTAACAATTATTTTCTGTTATTAAAAATATTTTGTTCAAGTTGAGTGCACCATTATAGTGTGCCACGTTGTATTTGTAGAAACGTTAGTCATCATTTATGTCAGAAATTCAAAACTTTTTGGATTACAGCCAATGAATAAATTAATGTTATTTTTTATATTCATTGAATAAATGAATTGATATTTTTTATTACATTTGATACTTGAATTGGTTCGTCGAACCAATCTCATAGATTTATTTATAATTCGAACTCGTAAAATGCACAGACCTAAAATATTATAATTATCAGTTTTTCATTAATTTTTCAATACATTTATTACATAATATCCAATATGTTCTCTAGGTCAAAATTGTGAACTGTCAAATAGAAAAATTAATTTAACGAGATCAAATATGATATACAATCAGCAAAGGCCTACATGAATGGAACTGCATTACATTGTCCATAGCTCTTGTGCCTGTGTGTCATATTTCAAACGTTGGTGGATGTTACTGTGGGGAGATCTCTGCATTCCGTCATCCTAAAATCCTTAAAACCTCATTGTATAAATGGCATTATATACAAAACGTGCCGTAACTGTACAATGATAACATTCAACAATGTCAGCCCAGTGCAATATTTCATTACAATAGAATTGCAAGTGCATTTTTGTTCAAGTGAAATAAAAAATAGAGTAGCGTGCGTTTCGATGGAAGTCATAGAGATGAGACTGCATTCTTTGAATAAAAAAAAACAATTAAAATGAATGTCGTAAAATTTCAATACTCAGTAAAAGTATGTTAAATTCAAGCGTATTTTTAATTCAATAAAATGCTCTATGCATCCTTAACAGATATAAGTGTTATTTTAGAACTCATCTCAGTGACTCGATAAGCATTGTGCTGTTTAAGAAAAGACGTGATGACAACTGAAATGCACTGCATACGTTTTGTCCACAGGTGACAAACTGCGAGCAACCCCGCCAAGCTCCACCGGCGTAGAGTGGATGTTCACAACTGCCTCAAGCACTTGTCTGCTGCGATGATCTTTAGGCTGTGGCACCACGGCCGTGGCCGCCGCCACCGCCACCGCCACCGCCGCCGCCCCGTGTCCGTCACACTTCTCCCCACCACCCCGCCTTCTGCTCCCCTCTCTCCCCCTCATTTTCTCTCCTCGTCCTTCGCGCTCTGCCTCCTTCGCGAACGCTGGTCCGCGCCTGCCGGGCAGTGGGGCGAGTCCATGCGAACTTGCGTCGTACACCCAATGCCATTCAGAGCTCAGAGGAATTGCAGTAGAAGGGAAGGGACGTTTTATGCATTTATCAAATAATTGATTGTGAAATACAATTATTTTATGCAAGTTCGCATTTAAATGTTTTTAATTTTTGAGGTATAAATACGTTAATAATTTTCTGTACTTGTGGTCTTTTCTACGAGTTCATGAAAGGCATTGTCTTTTTATTTTTTATTTATGTATTTATTTTTAAATCACAAAGTTGCTTTAGTTGCACAACTGTTATTTACTCCACTCCAGTAACTAAAATAACATTGCCACCCGTTGAATAGCAGGTCTGTCTGAAAGCGAAGGCCGGCGTTTCTAGTAAGCGGCTACGATTAGTGACAGTCAACTACTACTTATTTTAAGAAAGATTATAATAACAAAAGTGCTAAAATGTAAAAAAGTAACATCTCATCTAAACAAAAATATTTCAAAATTCACGCTGGGGTCCGTTGTTGAACCCCCGCCACTAATGCGACTGTCAATTGCAGTGGGACGGAGAAAAATTGGTACCGTACGAAACAGCACTACAAAAACTCCATCCAGTCCATACTGTAACAGGTGTTTGTCTTCGCTGTACCGTGTGATGTTTATTGGCAGTCTATTTTGTGACTTCGATATCGTACTGTGGGGGTAGTATTTCAATATACGTTTGGCAAATAAACTATTGTGACATAAAAGGGCATGGAATTCAAACTGTAGTGATGAGATAAATAAATATTACTCTTAGTTGTTTTGGTAGGTCCAACTACCAAATATAATAAAAATATATTTTTGTAAATATCGATTTAAATACACATTGATTCCGATACAGATACTGTCATTCTCCCACTCCACTCTACACCTTGATCCACAAGTTTCCACTAGATGTAATTTTACTGATAATGGCAGTGTTGAACGTCTTTTCAAACTTCAGATTTCCTCTACATCCACACCAGTTAAATTTCGCTTAAGACAAAAGTGCTTGATGTATTTGGATTTTTACAGCAATAATAGGTTGCACGTATAAAACCTTTTTAAAGAAAATATCATTTTATTGAACGTGAAATTGTTGTCTAATTATTACCTATAATGTCAACGTAAATATCACTTGAGTGTTTAAATACTGAAACGAACATTGAATTTGAATATACTAATTAATAGTATGCTGTATCGCAAAAGAGAGAAAGAGTGTCTAAATGCAGATGAGTTTATGGCCTTCGGCTTACACGATTAACATAAAACATCTCTGAGTCTGCCAACGCAATATTTCCAATGCATTTTATTCCAACAAAATTTGTAACTTACTTAAAAAGCGACATTCTCATTTGAAATACTACACAGAATGCCCTCGTTCTCCCAAATTGTCCTTGGCCTATTTACGGATCTTGCGCTGTATGAGTCGATTTGTGAACGTGGGTACCATAAGGGATAAGACCGTTTTAAAGGCTCTCTTCTAACGACCGTGGGTGCCACGCACCCTTCTTTTATACTCGTTCTCCTTAAACTATGATATAGGGAGAAAAAGTATTGGAATCGCTTCAAAAACACGATCTCTAATTTTTGGTCTAATATTCGCGATTGAGTTTTTTTTAGCTGAATCTCTGCACACTCGTCAGTATTGCTGTTCCAAAATGGGTTAAAATTGGAGAAAGAGCCGAGGAAACACTGGCAATTTTGTACCTTAAAATCGAGATGTTAGGAAGTACGTGTCAAGTACACTGTCAGTTTTGAAGCTCTTATGCTGAAACTTGATAAATAAGATCTAGTAAGTAAAAATAAGAAGTAAGATCTACTAATGTCCTTCCAAAAATCATTATATTTTAATTTTGGTGATACTTTACACGAAGCCCCTATAACATTTTCAAAATTCTCTTGAAAATTACGTATCTTATTTTAATTGCTGGAATTTATAAATATTGTAAGTTCCGATTTCCATTCATATCACTCAAACTGAAAATTCAAATTGATTTTCGAATCTGTCGAACACCAATATTAAAGCCAGAGATTTCTTTGTAAATACTCTGTATCGCTTAATTTTTAGATTTTTATGTAATGTTATTCACTCTCTTTTAATCAGAGTAACAACACCAAGAGGAGGAAAAGTATCGGTGTGTCATGCATACCCATAACCCTTCCACTGTGCGAAGTCGGCCTCCGCCCCCTCGCGGGGGCACCGAGCGCATGCGCCCAGCACCTCGCGGCCACTTCACCCACGACGAGGGACACCGGACCCCCCCCCCCCCCCCCCGCGCTTAGTGGCAGCCGCCGGCGCCACCGCAGCGCGAAAATAATCGCTCTCTCGGAGGCACGAGAGCTTAATCGAAACTTGCCAAGTCGCACGACACACTTCACATCGAGTGAGAGGCTCGCACGTTCAGGTCCCGCTCGGGGTAGGCACTGGGGCGAAATTATAAGAGTTCCTCGGCGGTTTGAGTAATTTATGATACGCGTAATCCGAATAAGTATTTATGATATCTACATTACTAAGTGCGGATCCGCGCAAAACCTGAAAGAAAACTATGCAGCCTCCGGCCACGTACGATTTCTTCCGCCTACGGTTTCGTTAGATACCAACACCTTGGGAAACATGCAAAAATAGTCAGTTTCAATTTTGACTTCGAAATTCAATTTTTTGTGTTACTCCGACTATTTTCATACGAAGCACACCAACTAAATTGTGGTACAGAGTGCGTGACTGCTTCTGACACAGATGACGTCATGGCAACACCAAGGCTCCATCGGAGAGGCCTCCCGCTATTAAACATTTACTATTACGGGTTGCGTTATGGGACAGCGACTTTTTTTCATTCTATGCATGTACAGAGTTCGTGTACTTAAAGTACTGTATTCTATTTGTCATTCTTGAACAGTGTGCGTGGTACTTTTGGGGAAAACCTTTATGCCGCAATCTTCAGCAGCATGTTTGCTGCTGCAGACTACTTAGTAATTTTATACATGTTGTACGAGTTCAGGGAAATTAATAAAAGTTGGTTAATGTAACTAAAACTTGGTTATGTTACTATAACTAATATAATAAATTTATTTTAATGTGTTGTGTATATCAAAGAATCAGAAATAAAGAGAAAAGCTGTTGTAGTCAGACAACCAAAAGATTTGAAATGACCCGATTTCGAAGGAATGGAAGAAAATTGTCAACATTATAATTTCGAGATCTCAATTATTTGAACATTGGACTAGTCCATTTTACCAACCCACAGTCCCTGCCATGATGAATATGATATATGAAATAACTTCTTCGTAAACTAGTACGTAAATTAAGTAATTCTAATATTTTGGCAAGTAAAATATTAGCCATTCGTTTTAATTTTGAGAACCAATTTGAGTGCTTACTTTTTAAAAACATTACATTTTTGTTTTTAATTTAAATTTTTTTCAAATTTATTTTAACTTTCCCGTATACGTACGTATATAGGAAAAGTTATCTAATACGGAAAATCGATTGCAAGGTTTCAACGGAAATACACGTTTTGAGGTTCGTACGTCAGTGAACATCATTAACGCCTAAACCATACGTAGGATATTTTCCAAATTGAAGAAACTGTCCGATGGCTCTGTCCGTGTGGCTCGACTCGAAGCTTTAATATTTTGAAACAAAACCTTCAAAGTTTGTGGGTACATTACCCGAAATCCCCGGACATTTTCAAAATTTTCTCAAAAAGCGGTTCCAAATTTTTTCTTTAATTTCCTTGTCAAATTATAGTAAAATACACTTATAAAAGTGGCGCAGGTACTATTTTTAGTTTTAACCCTAAATTTTCGAAAATTTCAAAATTTTAAAATTAAAAAAAATTTCGGACGTAAAAAATTCAAGATAGAGATTTTTTCTTGCAATAAACTTTGCTCTCCATAGTAAATTCTTTCATTAAGGCCATGTACATTTTTGAAAATTTTAATAGTTTTCGCGCACAATTGCGTGTAAATATGCAATTTAAAAAAATTCAAAAACCACATTTTCTCAAAAGGAGTTCAAAGTGTTTTTTTAAACTTTTGGTGGGCATAGTGCTAAATGTACTCTAAAAGATGGCATAAACGTTCTTTTGTACTATTCTTTTTTTTCAAAATTATAAAAATGTAATTTTTGACTTGTCTCTAACGTCGTTAATATTCATACTAGCCGCATTTTTCTCACATTACTATATGTGCGTTTTGAACGGTTAACGTGACACTTTTTAACGTGACGTTAAGTTCATTCCGAGGTATTTATTTGTTTTTTCAAAAATTACACAAATGACATTTTTGAAAGATTTCTCTCACCGTTAATATTCACATTTCTAGAAATTTGTCAACACTAATTAGAGAAGCTACTTAGAAATTACTTAAAATGACTCCAAATTTTTTTTAATATTAAAGTTTAAGATTATGCGAACGTTATCGAATATAGTTTAAGTTCAGGTTTGCAAAAGTTATAGATTTGGAACCTTTTGAAAACAATTCCATATATTCATTAATATTTACAAGAGAGCAAAGAAACTAGAAAAGAAAGAAAACATATATTATGAACACTTACGAAACACTGTTTTATTACCTAACGAGATATAGCTAAATTGCCTTTAATAAGGTTATGATGAATGTTTCTGTTTTCGCAAATAATTATTCAGTGAGAAAATGATGAAGCTAAATAAATAATAGGAAATAACGTATGACATAAGTAATTGCTAAACGTCACAGGCTCGTCATTTGTTCTTTTCTTGGAGAGACAGAGAAAAATATGAAAAGTTGTCACTTTAGATTAATTTTATATTCGATTTTTACAAAGTGAACACCAAGGTTAGATGTATTTGCGATAATAAGGAAACGCGTTTTTACGTCGTATTTATAGTAGATCGCAACAAGGCTTTTGAGGATAAAATGGCAAATGGAGGGAAAAGTAATGAAATGAACCA